GGACATCGGAACAGTCAATGAGTGTATCACCCACCGCACCAATTCCTCATCTTCCTACACCTGCACGGTCGCTATCACCTCCTCATGCTCGCGGCATATCATTGCCATCGATTGCAACAAAAGAGGAGCCTTCCCCAGCAAGTCCTCTCTGGCCAACTCACACAGCACCTGTGCCCCACACAAGCTTGCCACAACATGCGACGGTGGGTCCAGACGTGCTTGACGAACTGAATCCGCCGTTTGTGCGAAAGCCTTCTTTTGATGGACCCAGACCTGTGAGTATTACTTGCAGCAGCCATAGCACATTCTGGCACTGAACTTGTTTTAGCTGCGTCATGTTCCTGTGATGCTACCATCTCCAGTAAAGCAATTAGCAAAAGACATACATCATAGCATCACATCACAGCGTCCAGGCTCAACACGCAAACCCAGTACACGTGCAGAGTTCGATGCCATGTTCAAGCCGTACGAAAAGATGATGACTCAGTTCATTCACAATGTTGAGAGCGGAAAGTTGCAACATCTGGGTTGGGAGCCTAGTGAGTTGGTAATTACTGACTTGTTCAAATCGTTGAAATAATATGCAACAGGTCACAAAGCAACATGAGTGTATCACCTTTGATTGAATCTATTGGAACCCATTGTATCGTTATTTCTGCAGTCATTGCATTCCTTGTGCAACCATTTCGCTATCTGTCATCATGTCAATATGACATACTTAGTAGCATATGAATCTGTCCGGTAGATGCAAGTTCAGCATATCAGTATATCGTATTGTTAGTGTAATAATGAAGTACTGGTGGTGATGTGGTCTCGCTCAAGGCCACCCTAATGATGCGTATGAGTATCAAGCTGGCGAACATGCGACCTTTCGACAAAATTCAAGAACTATATAATCAACCAAATCTATTCCCTAATCCTTGCTTTTCTCCTTGGCTGCGGCAGCCCAAACCTTTTGCACCGAAGACCAATACCTCTCTGGTTCGACCCGCGCGTGCGCTACATGAGCGCTCTCTTCAAACAGCTCGCAATGTACATCCATTCCGCGCTCCTTCGCAATCTCGGCATGTCGCGTGACCTCTTGCCACGAAATCAATTTGTCGTTGCGCGAAAAAAGGTAAAGGCGGGGTGTGTGGAGGCCCATCCACGATAGGATGCGGAGATTCCACATTTCGATTTTGAGCTTTTCCAGCATAATCATTTGCTTACCGAACAGCAAAGAAAGTCCGAAGCGGACAGAGTATATTGTGTGTACGATGGCGAGCACGATGGGTCTGGCAATTGGGTTCCGGATCGCAGTTCTGGCGGCAAGTTTGACTGATTTTAGGTCACCCGTTGCTGGGCACGAGTCAAGAACCAATGCGCTCGCAGACCCTAGAACTGGTGCGGAACCGTATTTCTGCTGCAGCATATGTCCAAGAAGTGTCATTTGTAGGGATCCTCCTGGTATTGCCGTGCAGAGTTCAGCTGTCTCTAAGTCCAACCGGGAAGAACTCACCATTGGAAAACACATGAGTAAGTATTCGTGCAGGCTGTTGGGCAGGAGAGGAAGATGGTAAGCAATGCAGTGCTTCTAAGGCATCAATGACAGGCTTGAGCTTCCGTGACTTTCGATTGTGAGGCCACAGGACAACAGTGAACAATTACTGTGAGGTGCTCACCCTAGTACTTCGTGTAGTCCAGAGCAAGTCGGTATTGCACTGAACAACGATCTGAGATGCTTTTGGGTATAATTTGGCATATGCACTTGTATAATTCCGCAAATGTCTAGGATGTGCTCCTACTGCGGACAACATCATTAGACATGGACTAAAGGACGCAAATTCAGGAATTTACGCCATCCGAATATCAAAACGACACTATACAGGATTCCCATCAGCTATCTTGCTAATAACGGACGCCGACTCACTTGGGAGACCTGGTATCCTGACATTGTTCGTGGTTATCCCGCAGATATATCCCAGTGCCAATCGTACGGAACCCTTCCAGATGACGAGCTTTAGACAGACTTCGTACTGGTAGCAAACGAAAAAAAAAACGCGGGTGTTTAGTCTGCTAGACACCAACGACTGATATTTCTTACCAATTGCGAACCGACCCGCAATCATCCTGGGACCGGGAAACAGCGTTCGAAACTCAACAGAACTCGACTTGTGAAGATACACTCGTATGATATAAAATGATTATGAGACACACCACTACTATTAGTGCCAGTTGGCGTCGCGGGGTAACGGCAGGTAATTCGGTACAGGTTGCAGCTACGCGGGTGTGAGCCTCAGTTAGTGGTGCGCATACGAGTAGTAGTTCATCTTCCGATTACAATCCTTATTTTTCATAGGTCGCAAGTACTTAAGTACCAGTGACTCACCACTTTGGTACTATTTCTCGATGTCTATATGTGTAGTTACATATGGTTTCTTTGGTCTCCACAACACATTACTATCACTGACTATAACTCAGTGATATAGATGTGACAGGCTCGAAATTCAGTATTTACAAGATTGATTTAAATAGTACCTTGTAAGGCGTTCCCCGTTGACTATCCGAGGGGTTCCGGTTAGAATGTTGGCGCGAATGTATAGAACGACTGTGGCCCTCCACACACACGTTAGAAATGGGCATGCAGACCGCGTGAGGGAAGCTCGTCGTCATACAGTAGCCATGGCCACAATATCAAGGACAGCGGTTCACTGATGTGTGGGTGCCGAATGCGACGCTGAGCTTTCCTGGTTCACTGTTGCTGAAGTTTTGCATTCATTTGCCCCAACTAGTGTAGCACATCGTGATACTATTTGCATGTTTCTGAAATGGCAGCATTTGTTGATACATTGAACACCGGACGTACTGAGGCGCTCTTGATGATGTCAACATTGGTTTCATGAAGAATGTGGTTGCGGTTGTAAGTTACAGACAATAACTTTGGTACATGTGGTCGTACCGTCAGATCAAGCCCTGACCTGATCATCGAATAGTGTAGTCAGTGGCGTAAGTTGTGTATCAAGACAAACTTTGACGTTGATAACAGGGCTGACAGAACATGTGTACGACAGCGGCCGTCGTTCAGGAGATCGTTGAACAATGAGTTGTTGTATTTTGGCTTTTGTTTGCGACTTGTTTGGTAAGAACAATACAATCTGTTGTGATCTCGAGAGCGCTCGCTGAGATGTCGAAACTTTGATTGACACCACAGTTCTCATCATTTTTTCCTTTCAGTCCTCTGTGCTATAGTCTGTGGTTGGTCTCCTCTTTCTATATTCCATTACTCTGGCGCATGATCAAACGAATGGCTGACAAGATTGGGCAATTTGGCCAGTCTCAGAAGCAATCTAGTCAACCAGAACTTGCGAACTTGCCTTACACTTCAATGTCTCATTCGATATCTGTTGCTGCAGACTATCATCGCGGCTCGATATCAACACAGCGAACGTCGTCCAGCGAATGGACCCAGCAGGAAAATAATCTCGAAGCCAAGACGTTTTCACTACCGCGCGTGTCGAGGCCCAAAGCATCTTACCGGCTCTCCGACTTCATAATACAACGGACCCTTGGGACGGGCTCCTTTGGCAGAGTACATTTAGGTATGTCTTTTGGAGTTATTCGTTACGCCCTCATCTAATTTGGCTTTCCAGTCAGGAGTAAACACAATCTCCGCTTTTACGCCATCAAAGTGTTGAACAAAGAGAAGATTGTTCGGACGAAACAGGTCGAGCATACCAATAACGAGAAGATGATGCTTGAAGCAGTTCAACACCCTTTCATCATCAATCTTTGGGGCGCGTTTCAGGACGCTTCCAACTTATTCATGGTAATGGATTTCGTACCTGGTGGTGAACTTTTCACCCTGCTACGACGGTCGAATGTGAGTCATTTCCAACCATCTATTTTAAAATGCTCTGATACCTTCTGGAAGCGCTTCCCGGATCCCGTAGCCAAGTTTTACGCTGCAGAGGTCGCACTTGCTTTAAATCACCTGCATTCCCTCGACATTATATATCGTGATCTCAAGCCAGAGAACATTCTTCTCAACCATGACGGTCACATTAAAATAGCAGACTTTGGATTCTCAAAACACTGTTCATCAGTGACGTGGACATTATGCGGCACACCTGACTATCTTGCCCCCGAAGTGAGCGCCTGTGGTCATTTTTCCAAATTTCAAGTCTGACTTCACATCACCTTCAACAGATCATAGGACAGCAACGGTACAACAAGAGTGTAGACTGGTACGCCCTGGGCGTGTTGATCTTTGAGATGCTTTCTGGACTTCCTCCTTATCACCAACCTGATCATAACCCCGTTGTACTTTACGAAAAGATTACTCGTGGTCCAGCCTTCATTCGGTGGCCATCGTTCCATGAAAATGCTACAGACATAATCCGAAAATTGATGGAGGGGGAGCCCTCCAAACGATATGGAAACTTGCGGCATGGGGCAGGTGATGTCTTTGCACATCCATGGTTTCGCGAAGTCGACTGGGACAAGTTGCGAAATAGAGAGATCACCGCTCCTTACCTGCCCAAAATTGCAGGAGACGGAGATGCAAGCGCGTAAGTTTCAGTCATTCTCTAATCTCGAGCTTCGAGGCTCAATCTGGCTGCAGCTTTGAACAGTACCCCGAGGACAACGCTGCCTCACTGTACGGAATTCAAGCTGAAGACACATGGGGACAGGATTTTCCCAATTTCGAGTATACCAGCCACTAAAAGGGACTTTGATTCAGTTATCACTACATTATTCTTTGTTTGGAACGTTGACACCATCCATTACCTGCATTTGTTGTTGTAATACCCAGACACGTCGACACCCCCTGCGCATTGTACATTGTATACCAGTTGTTCGCAGTAGAATCTCTTGTTTGTTTCTCCCTTCAATCCGAGTATTCGCAACATCATCTTGAGTGTGATTTTTGGTTTTGCACCCGGCGGTCGCACAAACGTGGTCAAGTAGTATTACAACATCCGTTATGCTCGCATTCCTATTTGTTCGGAACAAACATCAACATCATGTCGAAAAATGGGCTGCCATTTCCCCGAAACCTCGAACGACCAGCTAGTTCAGAATCTAGTCTCATAATTTTTCACCAGTGGGGCCCCACTCTTTTCCACTGGCCCAGAGGTCCAAGAAGCTCGTCAAACCGTTAAGAATTTGAGGAGATCGACTTGTGCGGGCGCTAAGGCTAGTGCTAGCGGGGTATATTCGTTTATGGCTGCGAAACATGCCGACAAAACATTCAAAATGGTTGGCATCGTCGAAGAAGAGCGAGAAAGGTGTTAAAGGTGGCTTGAGGAACGGGAAAAGGGGGAGTCGCGGTAGACGGAACGGGGTAACCAAGGGTGCGCAGTCGGTGTCGCAGGAGGATGTTGCTGTTGAAAGAACAACAATGCTACTTGAAAGACAGGCCGAGTTGGATCAGATTATGGACAAGCATGATACGATGGTGAGTTTTTCTGTCAACAGGGGAGTTCGCTGTTTCATATTCGGATTAGGTACGGGAGGTTTTTCACTTGGAGAAGTTCGTGACTCTCATTGAATATGACCCAACTGTAAGCTCTTCTGAGCTTGCACTTTTTTGGCACTTATTGTTCCTAGATTGCAAAGCAGGACAATTCGATTGTGTTTCAGGAGGTGCGTAATGAAGGACACTAAGATTATGACACTTACGGAACGACCTATCTTGTCTTCACAGTATAAGTCGAACTATGACTTACTCGAAAAAGCCTCTACATCGGCAGGTCCATCGCGTGCTACAAGGAGGGCTCATATCGAGCGCGTTCAAAACCTTACTACACCACTTTTACCTTCTACCACCTCTCGAGTGCACACCGAACCGGAATTACCCCTCTCCGCTAAATCAAAAGGGAAACAGAAGGCGGTTGATCCAGTCAATGATGCCGCGCCTATTGAGTCGATTACGCCGAAGAAGCCTGGGAAAGGGAAATATATATCTCAGCCTCCGAAACTTCGAGCTCTGGCTCCGATTTTGCCTGCGGATGGCGAGGCTTCTATTTCCGTGGGACTTGTACGCGGCAAGAAGAGGAATATTGGTGTTGCTTCCCCCACGGGTTCGTCCGCTGTTCCCCCTTCTGCAAAAAAGAAGCGGAAATTTCAGGAGGGACTCGCATCGGAAATGGCGGAGATTCCTAATGTCTTAGGGCCCAAGTCAACTGGATCAGATGCTATGCCGTTGGATCCTTTGCAAACATCTGCTCGTCGCAAGTCTTTGGTGAGCGTTGATTACCTCTTTGCCGTTTCCTCGTTTACACGTCTTTCAGCGACATCCTCCAACTACGATACGAGAACCACCAACACTTTCTCAACTTCCCAGTGAAGTTGAGCCGCCACAATCACAATTCAATATCAGACGCATCAAGCTCATAGTGCGACCACCACCACCAATGTACTCTAATCCCCGCCAGCATCCCTCTCGACCTCATTTCCATTCCTCGCTCTCTAGCTTTTTGAACTCATATGTCTCCATCAATGACTCAGATTTAAGCGAGGACGATCTAAATCTCATGGCTCAGAAGAAAGCTGCACTATTGGACAAGATGGAGAGCTTCCGGCAACAGGGTCGGCTCATTATTGACAACGCGACCTTCAATGAGATGTCTAAAACAAGGGGTGGCGTAACCCTCCACGAACCAAAGCAAGATCGGGACACTTGGGATGTGATCTTAGAAGCGATTACTCAACGCTCCCGACAGGAGCAGGTGAAAGGTCGAGTTATTGCTGCGCAGATATCGAGCCGCATCAAAGCGTATTGGGATCAACGGGCACAACGCGAGGATAAGGCAAAAATGCATGAAGAGAGAAGACTTCGTGCCTTGGCGAAGGCAACTATTAAGATGGTCACTAGTGAATGGAAAAAAGCTGTCTTCGTACGTACCATATTCTTTTTTCGGGGATATTGCTTCAATTTTAATTTTCCTCTACATAGCACATTCGGGAACAACATCGACTGCGCGCGGAGGCTGAGGAAAGGCGCCGTGGTCATGAGCATTTAGATGCTATCCTTGATCGATCTGGTCATATATTGGAAACTCAGCAAGCAGAACTTGCTAGAGGTGATATGTCTCGCAGTAGATCCAGTAGTGTTTCTGGTCACTTCCTGGAACCGGGATTCGACTCTGAAGGCTCGGAAAATTCAGAGTCTGAAGTAGATCAGGGAGATACGGATGGTGTGGAGCGGCAATTTTCGTCACAGGCGAGTGACCGAGATACAGAGAATGCTGAGGAAAAAGAAAGCACCAAGGATGATGATGATGACGAAGAAGAAGAGGAGGAGGAGGAGGATGAGGAGGAGGAGGGCGGAACCAGTGCGTCAGCATTACTGGGGCCATCACTCCCTCAGCTCGAAGTTGATGATGATACTTCGAGCGCTACCTCCCGAGCTGGTGCTAATCTACTGGATGCCGAGATGAATGATGAAGAAGAGTCGGAGGCTGCTATGGCCGTGGAGTCACCTCTGCTTCTCCCTTTCAGATTGCCGATGTCTCGGGAGACTCCTACCGACTCCGACTCTGTTTTGCACGAGCAGACGACTGAAGACTACAGGTCTCCCCATTTTGAGAGTTTCAACGACGCGCCTTCACCAGCCAGCACTGTTGCTGGCCATGAAGAGGAGCCTGAATCGACTTTTAATCGCAATAAGGAGTTGAAGACAACAGTCACCGAATCTACTCCGGGCAGTTTGACTCTAGGTGCTGACGACGTTGATATGGGTCAAGCCACGGAAGTCGAAACTAAAGACAACTATACAGGCTTTCCAGCTGTCGAAACACCATCTTCTCGCCCCCCATCACCTACGTTCGGTATGGAAGTCGATGAGTCTGAGTTATTTGACGAAGCAGAAGACGTTCATCAACAAGAGGACAACGTACCAGACTATCTCAAACCATACGCCGTTGCACCTGTCCACTGGGACACGCAAGACAAGGTGAAAGTTCCCGTGTTATTACGGGGTGTCCTCCGCCCATACCAGCAATCCGGTTTGGAATGGCTTGCAAGCCTCCATGTCAACAATCTAAACGGCATACTTGCTGACGAAATGGGATTGGGGTATGCTTTTGGGTCCCTTGTTTAACGTGTTAGCTCACTCTATTCAATAGGAAAACTATACAGACAATATCGCTCCTTGCTCATCTAGCCTGTGATCGTGGAATATGGGGTCCGCATCTTATTGTGCGTGGCTCACCTGTTACCTTTTGCATTTACCAACCAGCCATCTAGATTGTCCCCACAAGTGTCCTCCTAAACTGGGAAATGGAATTCAAGAAGTTTTTACCTGGATTTAAAACTCTGAGTTACCACGGATCGACGAAACGCCGCAAGGAGCTCCGCCAAGGGTGGTACAACAAGCACCACTTCAATGTCTGCATAACCTCATACACGCTCGCTAGTCGCGATGCTCACATATTCAAGCGCAAAGCTTGGTATTACATGATACTGGATGAAGCACATATGATCAAAAATTTCAAGTCGCAACGATGGAATATTCTCTTAATGTTCCGCTCCTTTCGGCGTCTTCTCCTGACTGGCACCCCGCTACAAAACAATCTAACTGAGTTATGGGCACTTTTGCAATTCCTGATGTCTGGTACTAACTTTGCCAACCTAAAAGAGTTTGGCGAATGGTTTTCAAGTATGCATACTTGCCTTTTGGGGTGTAATGAATCATTGCTTACTTCTGATACTTAGATCCCTTGGAGAAAGCGATTGAAATGGGTACCTTGTTGGACGACGAAAATATGCAACGCGTGACCAAACTCCACACAGTTCTGCGTCCCTATCTACTGCGCCGTCTCAAACGTGACGTTGAGAAAGAGCTCCCCAGCAAATACGAGCATCTCATTCTGTGTCCCTTATCCAAGCGGCAGCGATTCCTCTACGACGAGTTCATGGATCGTGCGCATACCAGAGACGCCTTACAATCTGGTGTTTACCAGAAGATCGCAAATATCCTCATGCAGCTCCGCAAAGTCTGTAATCATCCGGATCTTTTTGAAGTCCGTCCGATCGTGACATCTTTCGCTATGACACGTTCTGTCGCCGCAGACTTCGAGATCAAGGAGCTACTAGTTCGGCGAGAGCTTCTTCGAGCGAATGATGAAGACAGTATTAATCTTGATCTTCTTGGCCTGCGGTTTATTGATCAACAAGACGTACCTCTACTTCCTGCTCTGGAAACGCGGCGCCTTGATGCGACACATCGGCTTCCACTTATCTCAGAAATGCCTGAGGAGCCGCCACCAAAGGACACTCGTACTATTCAAGGATACCGTGCTTACCATGCATACCAACAGCGAGTTGCACAAGTAGCTCGCTGGGCACAAATCGGTTACCTTAATCGCCTGCGTTGTACCCGGTTACCGGTCTACAGCCAAGAGTTGTTGACTATTGCTAAGCAGTGTCATCGACCAATCCTCCCTCTTTCCACGTTGAACATTAGCCATCGTTTCATGGACACGGTTCTTCTGCCTCTTCATTCGGCAGTCAAGACTTACGCTGACCGGGCTAAAGAGCTGCAACCTGTGGTCGAAAGGTTCGCTTTCGTCACTCCAGCCGCAGTTGCTTTGGACCTACCTTGTTTTGCCCTGGCAGGATGCGAGCACATTATATCTTGTCAGTCATCTGACTTCGATAGTGTCCTTCATCACGCTAGCGTCAAGCTGCAGATAGCGTTCCCAGATCCATCCCTTCTCCAATATGATTGTGGCAAACTGCAAGAACTTAGTCGCCTTCTCCGACAGAAGAAATTGGAAGGACACCGTGTTCTCATCTTCACACAGATGACAAGGATTTTGGATATTCTGGAGATTTTTCTCAACTTTCATGGCTATCTCTATCTTCGTCTTGATGGAGCCACCAAAATCGAAGACAGACAATATATCACTGAGCGGTTCAATGCAGACTCCAGGATTTTTTGCTTCATCTCTTCCTCTCGGTCGGGTGGAGTAGGTATCAAGTAAGTATTTGTAGGTTGCCTGGTCTGTTGATTGCTAACCACCCCAATAGTCTTACTGGAGCAGACACCGTCATCTTCTACGATAGCGACTTCAATCCCCAAATGGACAAACAGTGCGAGGATCGGTAAGATGGCTCCTCAATTTCTACATGGTGATAAGTGATCAAACCTTTTCGCAGTGCTCATCGCATCGGTCAGATAAGAGACGTCCACATCTACCGATTTATCTCTGCACATTCGGTTGAAGAAGCCATGTTGTTGAAAGCTAATCAGAAGCGCTCTTTGGACGATCTCGTCATCCAGAAAGGCGAATTCGACTGGCGATCCCTGTTTGATGACCAAGGAGCTCTGTCGAAGGCTCTAGTTGAATTTGAGGACAAGGAAGATGTCCATGCTGCCGCTGTAGCCGCGAGAGAAGAAGATGTGATGGAAGGCGCTGATCAAGCTGACTTCGGTGCTGAAGGAGAAATTGAAAATGAAGGCAGGTTGCCGGATAATGCGCAGGATGATCCACCTACTGGTAAGGAAATGTTGGATGTTTCCGAGATGGACCAAGTTGCAGAGGAAGAGGACGAAGGAGGGGCAGTATCGGACTACATGATTAGCTTTGTCCGGATGGATCACGACTTCTTCAGAGATTGGCGGCTATGATGGCAGTCTCGTATTCTGTTGATGTTTAGGTTGTTTGTACTGTTTGGTTCTTCCCAGTGCTATCTATCACATTATATATGTTGTTACTGATCGGAAAGTATGATGAGCGGAACTCAATCGGGAGTTCGCGCTAGTTACGTGACAATACCGGGAGTCATTTTCACCTGCTTCCACGCTCTCGAATTCTATCGTTGCAGTCCCCAGGTCGGGCAAGATGATGATAACAGACGTCCTGCACCGCACTTTCGTCAGTGGACTGGCCGCACTAAGCGTGTATGGAGTATTCATGGGTTATGCTGTGCACCGCGAAACACTAGCGAAAGGGAGAGGTGAGATGATGTATACCACCAATTTCACCCCAACTTTCTGACGCAAATTGTGCAGAGGTGAGAAACCCGACTACAATTAGCATATAAGGGCAACTCACGTCGACTATCATAGTACATGGCATTGAAAGAAGCCGAAGCAAAGCAGCGCGAACAGATGACTGCAAGTTTCCACATTTTACACATCGTCTTATCCTTTTTGACACTGCTCTCAGGCCGAAGAGGAGGCGAAAGAACTTGCGTTAGCAGAGGCTGCCCAGGCCGTTTTCCGCAAAGGGTCGTGACATGACTGCGCACCGACCTTCTACTACATCTTTGGTTCAAGGATAATCATGCAGTTTCATACAACTGCATACTATAGATGCCGTAGTTCATCTTGGGCTCGCTCCGCGTATTGTTCCTGTAACTGCCAACAAGCTGTCCATGCCCATTATTTAATTGTCTCGTGGATCGATCAACAAGGTCATTTCTCTTCTGCTTTAATCGCTCTGATCAAATAGAGACTATGACTGAGCTCGACTCGTATAGCAAACGGTTCAAACGAAGATGTGCCGGCTGAAGAAACTCAGACATTTTACTTCAATATAATATGTTCACCACTTTCACAACGAATAATTATGTCAGAGGATGGGAAGGGTCGTTGACATCCGATGAAGGACACTTTCAACTTGAAAGCATGATCAATCAGCTCCTGCGATGAAAAACTCTTTCCTCCCATGATTTTAGTTTCATGGGCCACCACATCTATATGGGTGCTGTTCATGCGCACTGGCAGTATTAAAATCGGATTTTCCCGGATGCACATGCTTTGAACGTTGAGCTTTCCTAGAGCCGTTGCCATCCTCACCCATGTACATTGTATCAAACCAGGACATTCCGAGACGTTAGACACTATGGTGGATTCTACTACTCCAGCACAGACCAATCGGCCTCGCTGTGACGTAGAGCATCCCAGGGCCATTGCCCTACAGTTCACAGGCTGGGCTCGACACCTGTCTTCAAATCACAACGCATGAACCTCAAAAGAGTCACAGAGGAAGTGAGAGCGAAAGAAAGGCGGTGTATTGTGTTGGAATGGTCTAAATCGTATGTCTCCGCCTCTCTCGATGGGGCTCCAGGAGCCTAACGTTACGGACCTGATGTCGTTCCTATCAGACAGTCGATTGCTAACAGAGGAACAAATCCTGTTCTTATGGCCGAAAAAAATCTAATTCATCTTCAATTTCTTTGCAGAAAGAGAGGTACGACAGTATGTGCGAAAAAGCATGGCCATCTGCAGTAGATCAATGCAGTAATGAGATTATAGAGAGATAATGTATATCTCTCTGACATCTCATTACAACGATGCGAAATGTTCGACTCTCAACCGTAACATTCTGAATTCGATTGCAATGCCTCTCGGCATTGTTGTATTGCACCCAGTTTTATTTTTCAGTAAAGGTGCAGTGTTTCTGGTCAATGGTTCCTAACCCTAATGTATTCTCCTTTGAGATATTTTACGTTGAAGAGAATTAACTCGGTACTATCAAGGTCAGGCAAAGTCATGTTCGGTGAAGGCCTAATATTCACCCGGTGAGACGCATCTTTCCAAACTCTGTTCTTTTAACAGTGTCTTACCAGGAGAGCAACATCGCCAGCAACGCAAACTTCTCAACTCAAAAACACGCGACTACTGTCTGCGAAGGTATTCCTCCAATACCCTTTCGGTAGAAAACGACCCGTACGCGAAAGCGTTGCGAAAGACTGGGTCATTTTTGCGTCTGAACTCATACACACGATGGTGTGTTGCAACCCCTTGATTAGCGTAATGCCACAGCCGCTGTGCGGCTGGTAATGATGGATGATTTTATTTGGTAGGTTGTTGTGTGCTATTCAGTGATGCATACCTACTACCATGTGGCAGAGTTTCATACAGCAGGGCTATACGATCAGCAGCCGAGTGTACGACAGGATGTATGATCGAAAGGAGTCGCCACAACACAATTTAAGCTCCCTATCGTAATTTATAGCAAAACGGTACAAAGTTACATCGTGTCTTGCGGGATAAGCAGTAGTATCGCCCATAATTTCTTGATGCGAGAGTCGCATAGATCTTTGACTACACCAGATATCTAAAACCAACAGGGACCTGAAGGTCATTAATATCCTTTGCATTCTGCTCGTCTCTCTCAATCTGCTCATTCACCCGCTTCAAATGCAAATGCATGAAACCAAGCATGGCCGACGACACCCCAAGTGCTGCGAGGCAGGCGGCGTAGGAATAACGATATGTCGGGCCCCAGATGAGAGGCCAGAGGTACCTATCAGAGATTGTAAATAATCAGCGAGAGCGGGAGATCGGTGGCACTAACGATCCGACGATGCTCCCCACCGCAGACATCGCACTGATCAAAGCGACAGCAACGGCTCGCTTCGCAGGTTCTCTGGCAAAAGTATTGTTTACCCATGCCCAAAGAACCATTTGTCCTGCGGCGATTTGAGCCATCAAAAACCTGCACGTCTCTGAGTACACAAGGTATCACTCTATTAGACGATGACTCTGCTTACATGGAAGCATAGCGCGCAATCATGTTCATCGTACAGATGGATATAATGAATCCAAGGGCAGCCAATGCGCTCGATGCAAAAATGTACATGCAACGCTTTTTCGCTTTGTCAGAGTACCTGATCGTCCATGAGACACGATTCGAGATAGAGCAAAAAATTAATTTACATACCTTGAAAGAGTAAAAGCTACAATAGCGGCAAGCACCCATGGAGGCACGGCTAGCAGCAAAGTAATCGTCACATCATATCCCATAGTCGCGACAATAGTCGGGAAGTAAAGGACGAATGACAGCGACATATAATCGATGACGATCGCGCCTGCAAACCACCATACCTTCCAGTCGGACAAAGCATCCCACAGTCCTTGTATGGTCCCCCGTTTCCCAGACCCGTCAAGTCTTCCATAGCCGTCGTCTGCAAGACGAGTGATAGCGAGCGATCTTTCCTCCGGAGTGAGCCAAGTGGTGTTGTGAGGGAAATTAGGGAGTATAAAGAATGCACAAATCGCGACTATGACAGTCATGCCGCCTTCGATGTAAAACAACCACCTGTAGATATGTCAGCTTCAGCGAATGACAAGAGACGAATGTTTCTCGCCTCCATCCGGCTTGACCAAGTTTTCCCTGCATGCCTGTAAGTATACCAGATGCAAACAGGGATCCGAACCCAGCGCTGAGCACGCCTCCACAAGAAACGAAAGTCGTTCTCACAGCGAGCTCGTCTCGCTTGTACCATCCTGATATAAGAAACATGATGCCAGGGAAGAAAGGTGCTTCGGCAAAACCAAGAAGTAAACGGGCGAGAAAAACCTGGGTATAACTCGCATCGAACTATCAGATGCGACAATGACGAGCGGCGGGAATGCATACTTCTGTGTGATTCCTAGATACGGTTAGGCATTCATGGTCATGAGTGGCCGGTGTCGACAAACCTGTTAATGTTGATACTAAGCCCCATATCACCATACAACATGGAATAAGGATGGCAGGTTTCTCTAGCCAGTGCAGAAACATATTCCTGAAAGAAAGTACAGTAAAATTTCCCTCGACGAAAAATGCAACTTACGCTGGCACCTGCATGGCACTGAATCCCACATACGTGATAGATAAGATCGTCGCGTATTGGGTTCCATGCAGGTGCAGGTCTTTCTCAAAACCTCCCAACCGTGCACTACTGTAGACGACATAAGACATCATACAAACGAGTATGAAAATGCGTAACATACCTAGCATTCCCTCTGTCGATCTAACAAAGGGGTAAGCACAAAGTAATAAAAAAACTTGGACTCACAAAGTTTAGAGCATACAAAAGCACGATCACGGACAGATGTAGATCGAGCTTCCTTACCAATCTCCTCTCGAGATCATTACGGGCATGGCTGGATAAAACAGACGAGACATGAACGGTTTCCGATTTCGCATCGGTGAGAGCAGACATCGTTCAAAAACAAAAACACAGCAGCAAGAGTTGACAAGTCTCTTCTTTGTGACGTGCAGGTGAGAAACAAAGACAGATAATCGTCTGGCACGGTCATCAATTAAATATCGACTGGCATCCAATAGGGTACTCGGGCCGCTTTGAACAAATTGCTATTAGCAATGACTGTGTGCGTGGCATGCAGTTATGGTAGTGATGTTGACAGAAGTGCCTCCGGAGTTTTGCCAACTGGTCTGGCCAAATTGGTTGTGCTCGACTTACGGTAGAACTCAGGTGCAGGGGTGGTGGTAGGACCTGGTAGAACTCCAGGGCATCAGAGACTCGCAGACATAATCTAGATTATGATGACATGGATGGGTTTGAATGATTCAATAGAACGCGAAAACCAACCCTCAAGTAAGATGGTGCTGGTGACAAAGCAGACGACCCTGCCAAGTCATGGTGGAAAAACCTTGGAATCAATATCAATTTCAGGTCTTTGCTGTGATGATCCTCTCAATTGTAGAGGCATGCCACCCGCCGTCGACATGCTCTGCACACTTGTGAAGACGTTGGCGTTGTTGTCGAGATTGCACAAGATCCTGAAGCATCCTTCACGTGGACATTTCCACTCTCGACAGAGCCTCGTGATGCAGATGATATTCTTGCAGGTCCAGAGAGTATCTCGTCCGGCGACAATGCCGCTGAATTGGCTGCTCTCGAGTCTGTAGTAAGAGGACTGAGGAAGTTGAAATGCTGAAGGGAGCTACTTCTGATCTTGGCAAGTTGGATCCATGAGAGTGGACGAAGAATAATACCAAAGGCTATTTCATTGAGGTAAATAAAGATGATTGAACGAGGGTTGTGTACACATACGGCAGTCACGCAAATGTCACTGTAAGTCACAACATGTCACGTAGGGAGTGTACATTGTCTGGATGAGTTGAGGTTGTCTATGTAAGCTCAATTGCAGCCTGGATGCACTACTGGTCTGACGAAGCCCGCAGTTCACCCGAATGCGCGCTGCACCCAGCACTTCCAAAGTGCAATTTGAAACTCCCGGGCCGTCAATGCGCCGTATCGGTAGTTGGTGACATTTCTACATGACTTTGGCACTTTCAACTAGATCTCACTCGATTATTATATTGGCCGAAATGAGTTGTATCAGAATACTATCTATCGGTTATCACAACTTCAGACGGCCGCTGGTTCGGACACTTTGCTATATCTCACTCAACTCTACTTCAAATCATATCCTGCTTGACCACATGTCATTGTACACTTGCAATACACTATTGCGAAGTTGAATCTTTGAAATTGATCAAGAAATTATTGAGATCCTTGTTGAGGTGTGACAGAGCCAGAAATCACGTCTTGCTGTCACCAAGCCGAGTCTGCCGTAGCGGAGTTTTATTTGCTCTCACTAACTGAGACAGATTGTTTTCGGCGGATGTGACATTGTGTGACTGTCCGAGCCAGCGGCCGTCTGAAGTTCTGGTAACCGATAGTATATTTTGTGTTCAAGTAGCCAAGTGCGTGGGATGCCGATGCATCCCCATCCAGCGCAGAAAAGTCCGGCACGCACTACGGCAAGAACCACGGCAAGACGGCACGTCGAGCATTGAAATTACACCGCAGCACCAACGAGGTGATTTGAAAGTCCACCAAAGTCCGCCACCTGGCCGTCTTTTTGCCACTGTAGTGCCGTAATTACTATAGTGGATTGACGTAATAAGTAACCAGTTTGAAATGCTCAAACCTTGATTTCGGGTACCGGATCAATTGCTTCACGGAAGGCACAATTGCAATAGCAACAAGTCTTTTTCTTCGTTCCGTCTTCGTTTCAAGAAAGTGTCTCAAGACGCTGACCCACTCATTTCGATTGTCGCTCGTTTGAATTTTGTCGGCCTGTCTTCTAGCTCAGGCCTCTCCATCAAGGCATTTGTCTTATATTATAATTAGTCTCTCTTTAAATTCTCGCCGTTGGCGTAAGCAGGAGAACCCATGGTGGTTTCAACGCGCTGCAGATGTCGCCACAGCGAACGACTACTACTCGTACCATGTCTAGCCTTCGCCGCTCTCGCAAGTACCCTGCTACAAGGAGCTATGGCACAGACCATGTACTCTACGCCTACTCATCAACTTCAACATCTCCAAGATCCTAATGTCATTGTCACCAACAAAAACGGGACCGTCGTGGTTTACAGTCCACTCACTGGAAATGAAATTCCTCAAGGACTCGCAACCGATGGCAGCGGTAGTGGATTCTCACTGCCTGCTGTCTTGTGGATTGCGTTCTCGTTCATAGTTGGCGTTCCGCTTATGCTGGCCGGCTTTCGTGGCTGGCGCCTCACCACCGGTGCGGCCATAGGCCTATCTGTGGCTGTAACATGTGCGTAGCGACTAATCATTCATCCGTATGAAAATTTACCTAACCCATCTACAGCATGGTCCGTTTTTGTTAATACATTAGACAATGTCGGTATTTCGGACATTACCTTGACAGCTCTAGTTCTTGTACTATTTTGTTTTGGTTTTATCTTCGGGCTTTTAGAAGTGGGTCGTATGGTAGGCATCCTCCAGTTAGGCATACAGGGTGGCCTTGCCATCGGGATACGGATAGTATTACTACGTAACCTCTTATTGGTACCCGAGCCTGTTGCGTTCTTCGTTAATTGGCTACTCATAGCATTTTGTGGTCTCGCGAGTGCAGTACTTGTCATTTGGAAACAGCGAGCTGGACTGGTGAGCGTTGAATTCGTCCTTCATGGTCTCCTTGAATCCTGACTGAATCGAATAGCTTCTAGGATCGGCGTCTGTCGGCACTTTCTTGTGCGTCCTGGGGACCGACTTGGCTGTTAATCAGCAATCTGGCATGAGTCGGGGCCTCAGATATTTGATTGACAGAAACAGTTATCATGTCGTGGTATGTACTCACCTTGAATTGTTCAAAAACGATCACAGTTTAATCAGATTGCAGGACACCACGAATAATGGGTACTTTCCGCCCACGGGCACATTGGTTATGATTGCACTCTCCATTGCGCTGACGTATGTGTCGCCAATTTCTCATGTCTTGTATCGTAAGCCTGATATACTGGCACGGGACATGAACAGACCTGCATTCGCATACGCCCAACATAGGTTCTTTAAGGGTCCTTTCTGCCCAGTTCACGATGACGATATCGAGTCCCTTCATGCATCAAACGAGTTTCCGGCTGACGAAGAACCCAAACCATCGGGCGAGGAAACACTGTCTAGTTCGCCAAATTCGTCACCTGTGTCGGCTTTGTCACAATCGATGCCTTTGCTTAAAGATTGTTCCTCGATACCTGCTGCCACGGAGAAAGTACGAACGACCGAAGGCGACGCAATCGCGAACGACAGTTAACGTTCATCATAGCACATGCATCCTTGGATCTTATACCCTAGCGATTACCTAAATACCTTAGTAGTCGCATTTCATTTTATTGCATTTTGTCGTTCTCCATCGGATATCTTGGCACGCATTATGCATCTGCTTCACACCCGGATCCACAGTAGACTCCCGTTTGTTCCGGAAAGATTACTGTTTCACTCATCTAAATCGGCAGCCCTGAGCCGTTGGTTGATTGTTTCAACTTACTTGACATCGATGTGCCGCCCGGTTTTTTGACTAGTGCGCGCGCGCATGTACCAATATTCGGATGCAAAGCGGATAAAGAACGGGGAAAACATAGCTCGTGACTCTCGCGGGTATAGTGATGATCAATGATCGATTGATCCAAGGACAGTACTGGAAATACTTGGTCGGTGCTAACGCGGGAAGGTCCGGAAATAGTAGACGAAAACCAAATATTCACATGTTAAATCCGCGCCAGTCTTACATTTCATCGGCCGTATGTGAGGTAACCCTCATTTTGTTTTGCCCAGCTTTTCATCCGCTGGTATCTAATACCCCACCCAACCCTCCAGACGCCTAGGTCCTATAATTATGTCAAGAAATGGGGACAAGAAGCCGGTAGGCTTCGCTACACATATCACGGCTGGAGGGATCGCTGGCGCGATGGAGGCGGTAAGTGTGTATATTCAATGTCGTCCACTACATAAAACGATCAAGGGTCTCAGATATGCTGCCAACCACTCGACACCATAAAGGTGCGGATGCAACTCTCCAAATCCGGGATGGCCCCTGGGGTATGTCACAAGTGATGTTGTACGGCATTCATCAACTAACTCCCCGCCAGACAAAACCACGAGGATTTTTGGCGACAGGTGTTATGATCGTTAGACGCGAGACTCCATTAGCATTATACAAGGGCCTCGGCGCTGTCCTTTCCGGAATAGTCCCAAAGATGGCCATCCGATTTGCCAGCTTTGAGACCTACAAAGAATGGTTAGCAGATAAATCAACAGGGAACACCAGGGTGGGGAATATCTTCATCGGTAATCTATTCAAAGTTGTTGCGTGATGGAAACTGAACTCTCGGCTTAGCTGGGCTCGCTGCTGGGACGACCGAGGCGATCGCGGTCGTCTGTCCAATGGAAGTGGTGAAGATCCGTCTGCAGGCGCAACAACATTCGCTCGCCGATCCGCTGGAAGCTCCGAGATATCGTAATGCGGGTCATGCGGTGTATACGATCATACGTGAAGAAGGTTTTTCGGCCCTTTATAGAGGAGTCTCGCTCACTGCTTTACGGCAAGCTACTAATCAAGGTCAGTCTAACGAGTTCTGTCATTGATACCGTGACGAGGCTTATGAATCATGTGATCGTAGGCGCGAACTTCACTGCATATCAGGAACTTAAGAAATTGGCACACACATACCAGCCGGATTTGAAGGACTTACCTTCATACCAACACATGATTATTGGACTCATATCAGGTGCTATGGGACCCTTCTCGAACGCTCCGATAGACACGATTAAAACTCGTAAGTTCATCTTACAGGGATTGCCTACATTCAAGTAATCCATGACACCGATAGGATTGCAAAAGGCCACGTATGAACCAGGAACCACGGCGTTTGAGCGGATTGCAGCGATAGCAAAGGATATGTGGAAACAGGAAGGCGTCCGGTCGTTCTACAAAGGAATTACGCCGAGAGTTCTGCGGGTGGCTCCTGGACAGGCGATCGTGTTCGCTGTGTATGAAAAAGTGAGAGGGATCATCGAGACGATGAAAGTTTCACCGTCGCAAGATCGGTACTCGGAGTGATTTAAGAAGAGCGAGGAGATTCATTTGCAGATACAGAAAGTCTCAAGGATGTACATTGTGTTTTGGCTAAATGAAGGGTGGTGTGAGTTCGAATTCCGATTTGGTTTGTGGTGGGCGGACGCTGGGAAGTTGGAACGGCTCTGACCGGCCCGACCGATGTTCAGGCCTCAGGCGAAGCCAATAGACCTTGAGCCCGAACGTTTGAACTTTGACTGCATACAAGCTCTTATAACGTAGACGGAACGGCTGTCATACTACAGCCTACAGGTCTGACTAGACGAAACAAGAGGCGAACTAACAGTGATGGCTGCTCCAACGAAGGTGCTAATGCTGCATGGGTAAGTACCAGTTTATACTCTAATGAGTTTACGAATCACCACTGGCTGAGCAGCATACGTGGATGACTGATTCACTTCCTCAGACACTCGCAAAATGCAAGTATATTCAGTAAACGCGTAAGTATCTTCGTGTTTTGGTATCCCATCGTCATCTTACAGGCCGATTCATCAAAGCTTGGGGCCTTGAGGAAATCGATGGGAAAAGGCATTGAAATGGGTATGCTTGGAATCTATGTAACCATTCCGATGTACAGGTTAACAGGCGGACATAGTATTCATCGACGGACCCATTGTCTTACTTCCTGTTGACCTCAACGGCGCCTCGTCTGCAGCTTCGTTGGCAGCTCTCGGAGCCTCAGAGGCGAACGCGACATCCTCTGATCCTTCAACTACGCCCCGAGCTTGGTGGAAAACTAACCCAGAGAAAACAATCGCCCACGGGTTAGAAGAATCTATACTCCTTCTGAGAGATATTCTTCAGCGTGATCGATATGATGTGAGCATGTCCGCTGCATATCACACATTGAGTTAAAATGAATTGGTCGTAGGGTGTGTTTGGCTTCAGGTAATCTTTCACTGTCCATCTTTGATGCCGTTTGGCTTATCGGTGAAACCAAAGTCAAGGAGCAGCTATGGCTGCTCTGCTTGCCGCTCTCGTGTGTATATTCGCGATGTGATCGTACCTGTTGACTCTCAAGGCTTCATCCTTCTCCAGCTAGAGCGGCCTCATTCATACCCTCCCTTTCTCGTTGATGGAGAGGGCTCCTCACCCGCCTTTGTACGTGATGTGTCCTACCAAAGAGATACAAGTGCTCAGCCTTGACTTAGCAAATTCTGTGTAGCCGTCTCAGGCTTCAAAGCACCCGGGTCTCTCAGTGCAGAAATCTTTGGGACATCATATTCTACACCAACCCTGCACGTTCTCGGGAGAAACGACGTCATTGTCATTGAGGAGCGCTCGAAGGGTCTACTTGATCTTTCACAGAACAAGAGATTGGAGGAGCATGATGGCGGTCAGCCGATTCCACCATGTGCTGTGACTCGTTTCTGACACCCTAGATAGGTCATTTCGTGCCCTTGAAAGCCATCTGGAGGGAGTTCCTCCGCAATTACTTGACTAATCCTCTTGGGGTGATTCCTTCCCCAGAACCGAGAAATATCATTCAGCCTACATCTGCAAAACTGTGAAATGAACGCTCAACAACATTTAAGTTCGAAGCTATTACGACCTCTTACGACCTACTGATTCTGAGCTCTGATTGGTGGAGATGCAGATGTGACACGTAAGTGTTTGCAATGCCCAAAGATTGGTTTATGATTAAATAACGAATTGAAAGACATGATAAGCACCTGTACCTGTAGGTTTGATGTATCACTACCTATAACCACAAGTCATTTGTGATACATGAATTGCTGTAAACTACAGATGGAGTTTTTTTTTTTAAAAAAAATTCCAATTTATGTCCTTTGAAGTAGATACTATGTAGGACAGTACGTTCTAGTCTACGGGACCCCTAGTGTCCCATCGCAAACCTGGGCGCATGAATGCCCTGGTGTGGGCGTACCCTGCCAGTCTGCTGTTCCCGCCAGCTGTTTTAGACGTGCCGCCCATAAGTAGAGATGACTTTGATTATTCGCGCATGTGATGATCTCTAGCAATGGAATATGCATACGCATACTCGGTCGCACGAGGCGAGCTGGTACAGGAATCATGAGGGGTGCAAGTGGAGGAAGATATATATGCCAATAGTGTACTGTTGGTTGGCTAGATCGTCTCCGTTTGACTGATGCCACGTAGGAGGGAGGTTGATTCCGTGTATATGAGTGTTTGAAGAGGGGGATTAGAGGTGTTGTACATGTGGTGGTACAGAGAGGGGTATGGGGACTTGCGGTAATATAGACATGTGTATCTGTGTATTTACAAGTTTCGTCAATCAGGAGGCATGTGAGGCAGTGGTACTTCACCGAACGTCAGACGGAGTCGTCCAGTGGTGTTGATATATTTGACCAGGTGGGGAGTTGCTTCTGGGTCAGAGAGTAGGTATGGGAGGGATGTGGCTTTGCAGCCTAGTGCACATGCCAGGATGTGGCGTTCACGGCGAAAGTGAGGGCAATCAAGCAGGTAGTGAGGGACGGTCTCGGCGATGCCTGGACAATGTGGACAGAAGGGAGTTGGCGACTTGCTGATGTGATGTAGATGCTTGCATAGGGGGGCATGGTGGGTGCGAAGGGCCATGTATACTCCAGTGAGTCGCTTGGGGAAGTGGGCAGTGAGTTTGATGAAGGATCGTTGTAGCAGTTTGGGGTCTATGTGAGTCGCACGAGCATAGCGTGGCGATTTGCGCCACAATCGCTTCCATCGAGCATGCGATACATCACGCTGAACTTCCTTGAGTGTCGAGATACTGAGGGGTAGGGCGTTATGTCGAAGGTAGTGTGGGAGATGGTGGCTGGGGCTACTCTGGTGCCATCCCTCAGCCGCCCGTTTCGCGTGCTTGTCCGCATCCTCATTGCCGTGAACATCTGAGTGGCCTGGGACCCATCTGAGGGTGATGTCGAAGTCGTCATGATCCTTGGCAATGCACTTCAACATGCTACAAAAATGATTGATCAAGTAAGAGCCCGGGTTTGAGTTGAAGCTCTCACCAGATTGAATAACCACTTGGTTGTCGACAGAGATGGAGAGAGGAAAGGTGAGGTCTCGTTCCATTGCGATTAACTTAGCAGCTAATGTAAGGCCGACTGCCTCCGCTTCATACACAGTATGTTCCTTCTCCGTTCCCAGATGGAAACGGAGGGTGCAAGGGCATTTGCCCATGCAGAATAGTACTGCTGCCGCTCCCACCCCTCCCTGGTGCCCAGATCCATCACTGTATATTTGGATGGTGTCACAAAGCTGGACATGTTCCTGGATGGCCGATTCTTTTGAAGCTGCAATGTGGGTCCGGTATGGGTTTGTGCTTGAGGGTGGTCTGCGTGTTGGTAGGAGTGTCTCGATGTCCTCTGGGATGATAGAAAACTGATGTGTGAGACGGTGAAGAGATGATCGATGAGACACGACATATCACTTTGCTGCACAACAAACTGGGCCATATAAGGGGTGGGTGTCAGGGTAAGTGGCGAGGTGAACAATTGCCCTGTGACAGGTGTTCTGGAGGAGGAGCGGGATGGGTAACAGGTTAGCATGAACTTCTAATAAATCTGTAGCTGTAGATTTCATGGCTCCTGTAATGGCAAGCGCTGCTATATGCTGTACGGAGGTTAGGCGCTTCACTACTCCAACAGAGCCACGCTGTAAGATGTCAGAACCTTCACGAAAGGTGGGGGTGAACCAGAGGTCTGCTGCATATAACATTTTAGGGACTGCCACTGCCTGATATAGTTGTCGCATGAGGTGAAGCGGGAGACCCTTGGCTGCTGTAGAGAGTCTTCGCAGTTGAAAGACATAGGCTGTGCCCTTCGCGATAGCATTGGCTGCCTGCACTTTCCAATGCAGTTCCTGGTCGATGATGACTCCCAGAAAGCAATGACTGGGAGTGGGCTTGATGGTTGTGCCCTGGATGTGCATATTAGGGCGTGTCTTCCATCGATTCATTGAGAAGTCTATTAACACAAACTTGTTAGCTTCAAAATGTGAGTTGTGGGCTCTTGACCAGTCATAACAGCCGCCCGGCCTTTCCAGCATGTCTGCTAGAATAGCGTGAGTAGATTCAAAGTCCTTACCGACCGCTATAAGTGCGGTATCGTCAACAAACGCTAGAGTTAGCTCTGTGATAGTGGCTCGGCCCCTCGGTGGTTTGGCAACATCAACGAGATCGGAACTGTATATGATATACAGTATCATTGATAACGGGTCACCTTGACCTATCCCGTTATTGATGGGGATCCAGTCTGACGTATAGCTGTCGAAGCGAAGTTGCATTTGTCAATCTGTTAGTAATCGCTCTGTAAAACTTACTATGTCCCTCAGGATGTGTCTCATACGCATGTTGTGTATGATGCGCTTCGTCACCGCATTGGGGAATGCACCCTCAATATCCAGAAACAAGACTGAGGTGACCTTGTGAGATCTCCATGCATTTTTAACTGTCTCCTTGAGCAGATGTAAGGAGTCAGTGGTGGAGTGCCCTGGCCTCCCCCCGAAGTGCGTGTTCGGCAGGAGGTGGTATTGCTCGAGCGTGAAGGTTAGTCTCTCAGCAACAACAGCAGATAACAGCTTGCCCATTGTGTTGAGCAGTGCTATAGGACGGAATGCCTTGGGGAGGGAGTAGTTGGGTTTTCCCGGTTTGTGAAGCACCACCATCGTGAACTTTTTCCATGGTTCATAGTAAGTGCCAAGGGTGAAGACCACATTGAATAGGTGTGTGAGGTAGGGGACGAGAATGCCTGTACACTGTTTGTACACTATATTGCAAATACCATCCGGTCCAGGAGCCTTGTATCCATTGAGTTTGATGATAGTGCAAGTGATTTCTGCCAAAGTGAAGGGAGTGTGCAGGGTTACTGGGTCAGGGTATAACATGTCTGAGGGTACAAAGTCGTTAGCAGGGGGTGGAGGGAAGAATGATGTAGCTATGATGGTGCTCTTTTCGTGGTTGGTATTGGCTTCAGTCATGGTGCCATCAGGTCGTTTGATGCAAAGAGTGGGTACTCTTGTCTTACCCCCATCCTTCGGTTCTGATGAGATATATTTGTTGGCCGTCCACAAGTCATTGCCTTCTATATCTTCCAACCATTCAATCCAATGCTGTTTCTTCGTCGACTCGATCTTCTCGGTGTAGCGTTTCTTGACATCCGCAAGGTCCTGGTGGCAGGTGTGTTGAGGTAGGCCTCTCATTAGGTAGGCTTGCCGGCTGAGGGTATTGACCTATTGATGTAATTGTGTTAGTTCATGAGTCCACCAACATTTAGAATGTGGGCAAGGTTTGGAGAAGGATACTTTAGCCTCGATGGAGGCAGTGATGGCCGCGGTGATACGGTCTGCAGCAATCTGGAATTCCCTGTCAGTGACGAGCGGTTGAGGGGGGAAGGGGGAGAGTGCAAGGCTAAGGTTCTCCTTGAAGTCGTCCCAGTCAGTCACACGCCAATTTCTGTGTGGGTCGTCATTGATTGTGGGAGTGTCCAATTCCAGTCGAAGAAGGATCGGAACATGGTCAGTCCGCAGACCACGTTGGGCTGGATCTGTCTCACAGGACACCACGGTGTCATTGATGGATTCTGTCCTGAAGACATTGTCGGAGCGGGTCCAGTTACCTGTGGCAGATGACTGTAGGGTGGGGAGTCCGCAAGGGAGGAGTTGTACCATTCTGTAGTCAGCAATCAGCTCAATGAGTGGGCTGGCTGCATTGTAGTTGAAGAGGTGCCAGTTCCTGGCTTCTTCCCATAGAGGATGGTGCTGATTGAAGTCCCCCATCCAAAGCATGTGGTCAGTTTCCAGAGGGCGGTGAAGGTACAACAATTCAGATGGTGAGTCTGAACAATGTGTTGGGTCTTGCAGAACCTAGCTGCTATTCGACCCTAAAGGGTTTCTGGACCAGGCTCAAGGCTCAGAGGAGAGGAAATATCATAAAAACTACTGAGGACTCTGACTCATACTGGTAACTGGTGAAAAGATTGATTGATTATGTAAGCTACAAAAGTGCCAACATAAGGTAAGGTAAAAACAGTCTCTACAAGCCCAACCAGAAATGAATCCCTACAGCGGACAGTTGCAATGTTAGTGTCCAAGTAGGCATTGAGGGCAGTTAGAGTATGTTGAGAGTTACCATCATTGTAGACATTAAAAATAGTACAGAGTCCATAAGGGCCCGAGAGTTGAAGAACGACCACATCCGAAGACGGGAATGAAAGCTGTTTCCAGGAGTTAGTATTTACAGAGGAACTAATGAGCGTGATAGCGTGTGTTCGTTGCTGGGGGTGCGTGTGGTGTTGGGATGGGTATAGCACATGCCAGTGATGGTTGGCACTGGTGTTGCGGAGGAAATTAATGTGGGGTTCCTGTAAAGTTAGTATATCCCAGTTGGCAATGCCGGGGTTGTTGAGCAGGGAGGCTTGCACCACCAATGAGGTATTAAGGTTCTGTTGCCATATACAGAGGATAGCGGGAGGTTCGTTGACGTGCTCAGACATGATTTGACGGAAGGGTGGGTGTGCTGTCGAGGGGGGAGGCTTCTCCCCATGGAGACAGG